AAAAAAAAAAAAAAAAAAAAAATCAAGAGACGGCGACTAACATACAATAGTCCTCCAGCTAAATTTAGAGTCCTAGTTAAAATGTTCTTCTACAGGATATCACTGAAACATGAAAGAAACTCTCACTCCTAACAACAACAAAAAAGGTTACTGTGATGGTAACAGGATGATCTATTTTAAGCACCATGTGGTACTTTTACAGGATTCAGGTTAGTAAATGTGTGCTATGAGAAGTTTGTCACTGCCAGTCATAAAAAAACAGAAAGAAATTCACTGCTGCAAAATTTTATTTTAATTATATACATATACTTGGAATGTGATACAGGCTACACCTTAAAATCAATAGGAAGACTTCCAATAACTTCCAAGATGATTGGGGTTAAAGTATACACACCAGATCAAATGTGTGTAAAGGCCATGTCTAGCTTCACAGTCATTTCCATGCTATCAACTCCCACAGGGAAAGAGCCCATGACAGCACTAGAGCAGTATTTTTTTAAATAATAAATGTCACATAATATCTTTCTTTGGGTCACAGAGTATCATGGGGTGGGGTCCCTAGAGATGGCTGCGATGCCCCTAGGGCCCTCTGACCATGCCAGCTTCGCTGTGCGGGCACCTTCTAGTCTCACCTGCCACATCTTGATGGCTAAGATAATAGGTAGTAGATAGGAAGGCTGCCCTCAAGTTGCTACACAGGCACAGTCCTGGTGGACCCCACTAAACCATGTGTGTTCTTAGACCCCTTGCTGGGTCCTGCTCTAAATTATTGCCTTGTGGGACACCCCCAGCTTTATGGGCTAGACGCACGGCTCCTAAATTGCCCCTTTACCATGCTCCATGCCTTGCAGGTGGTATTCAAACGTTGTCCCTCTGAGGCCTTAATCTAGCTCAGCTTCCTATCGTCACTGGGCCCTTGGCTCCTATCTATGCATCCTCACTGATGTCGGGCTCTCTGCACCCCTGTCTGTGCACTCTCACTGGCGCTGGGCTCTCCACACTGAAGTGTGCCCCAATGAGGCCTCCTCCTCCCCAATAGCCTCTGTCCAGTCCACCGGATTAAACAACTAACAACGTAAATACAAGACCCTGGGCTATAACATAACAACAACAACAACACTGGAGGTCACACTCTGTCCTGTTAAGGGGCAAGCTTCTCCCTCAACAATGTGTGCCCCCTAGCCCCAGATACTTTAGGAGCTCCTTACCAGCAGTGGAATGGCAAACAATCCCTGAATAGAGCTTCTGCAAGAGCTCCTTCCCCCTGGTTGCTGCCTGAGCACTAACTACCTCCAGTCTCAGCCCTGGGTCTTATATGTGCCCAGGGCCTTGCCTTCTTCCAGTCAGATGACTGGGTGCAGTTGCTAGCTAATTACCTCATGAGCCTGCTGCCACAGCGACCTGCACCTGTGGGGGTTGCCTGGCTCCTAGGGCCCTCTCTCCAGGCAGCTTCTGCCCTTAAAGGAGTAGGCACACCCCTTAGTGCCCTGTGACGCAGAGGAATACAATGAAAAGCTCTTATCTATCGAGTTAAGCAAACACTTCTAGCAATGAAAAAAGCCAGACAACCTTAAAATTTTCTTATGCCCTCTATTAATTCCTACCAATATTACTAATTTACACTTGCTCAGAAGAACTGAGTATATATAGAAATATATATCTATATATAGACACTGACTGCTCCACAAAGAGCTTGAATCTAAAAACTAGAGAAGATGGAACACAATGGTAAACCCAGGGTGGGAGTAATTGGCTGGGGGTGGAGGGGAAAAATATCTGCACAATATGAGGGGCCAGAATTTCTTAGGGTGATATCTTTTATTGGACCAACTATGTAGTTAGGATAAAGTTAAACAAGCTTTCGAATTCAAGAGATTATTCTTCAACCTAATGAAGAATGTCTTGCATTTGAAAGCTTGTCTAACTCTATTCTAACTACATAGTTGGTCCAATAAAAGATATCACCCTAAGAAATTCTGGCTTCTTGCATAATTTCTGGACCATCATGGTGACAACAGTCACCCTTATGCTACCATCTGCCCAATGTCTCATTTTGCTTTCCTTCATCAAGCCAGGGTATAGAAGGGCTCCAGTATTTGAATTAATCCTAACAGCACATTTTGTCTTCTAAATTCATCAAAATGCCTTTAGCACAGTTCTTTATAGATCCCCCCACACACACTTTAATTTACATCTCCCTTGCACCTAGGTTTTTACCAAAGGTGATATTAGTAAAGATATTGATATTCAAAAGCACTAGAGGATGCCTTTGCATGTCCAGTTCAAGAATGTGCATGGGAGAAAAAAAGAATGTGTGATCAGTTCTCTTACCTTTACCAAATAAGCTTGGCAGTCACTAACATAATCATATTCCAATCCATCAAAAGTATAATAATGTCGATCTCCATAAACTGTACACACAGCAGGACAAGGGTAACTAGTACAACTGAATATCCCTCGCCGACAAATACTGCAAAAGAAGAGTAAAAAGAACCCACATTACCGGTATCCCATAGAAGAGCTTTTTTTTTTTTTTTTTTATTGTTATGCACTATTATTTTAAAAGCAGAACTCTTAGGAACTCAATTCTGAGTCACAAAAAACCCAGATAACTTAAATGGGCCTATTTATCCAGCTATGCTACAAGCTACCCTGTAATTGGGAGTGTGGCTATATTATACAAGTGGCAAATGAGTGGGCTTAAAACCATAGCTACAATAAAGGGGGAAATTAAGATAAAAGAACTTTAGGCTGATTTATAGCATGTGAACATTTCTACTCTTTTCTTGTGTAGTGCTAGCAGCATGGCTGTCTCCATTACCAAAACACTATCCTCCAATCCCTACTCCAGATTCTTAGAATACAAATAAAATTGTTCTTGACCTATTTTTGTTCACAACATTTATATTTGGTTGATATACAAAGCTCCCCTGTTAAAAATCAATGGGAATTGTGTGCGCTAAATTAGTATAAAATGTTCATCAAAATTGCTTAGGTTAGATGGCCCTGTTTGCCTATCATTTTATATAAACATATATCTATACATCTATATGTCTATCTGTAGACAGAGCGAGAATGAGAGCGAGAGTGACACTTAAGTAGAGTTGAACTGGTGTAAGCAACAGCAAAATGCTCAGATACTCTACTTCTGCATACATAATTGTATTGGGCTCATGTAACTTGCTAGTAAAGTTTCACATCGTCACTCAGGCCTCCTCTATACATTACATTTATACCATGATTAACATGTTAACCACAACATAAATGGGCAGGGTGCTACATGTGTACCAGATTTAAGGCACCATAAACTGGGCAGCAAGCCATAAAAATGTTCTACATATGATACAGAACATTTTTCAGGCTGGTTTGTAAGGCACTTTAAATTTAACTTGTGGTTGGGGCTGACAATACGCTGACCGTTAATCCTGGGATGAAGATCAGACTGTGATCTGGAATAGCCCCAGGCCTCTGACTGTTGGCCCAGCCAGAAGGTAGGGGAAGCCAAAGTGCTTCTGTGGCGATTTTAAATCCTGCACCCAACAGTCCCAGCTGGACTGTTGGGTATGGGGTATCAGAGGCTCCTGGTGGGGGAAAGCAAAGGACTTCCCCCTGCTGGAGATTTTAAACACCACAACTGAAGGGCTCTGGCCAGGCTGCCAGGCTCAGGGGATGAGAAGCTGCCAATGGGAAACCCTTCTGGCTTCCCCCAGCTCTCCTGCCATGCCCAGCCAGAGCTGCTGGGTATTGGGGTTTGGCAATCTGCTGAGTTTTGGCCCTGGCCTGGCCAGCCTCAGGTTCAGGACCTAGGGCTATTAGAGCTGACTAGGGCTGACTGTCAGCCCAGACAGCCCTGGGTGAACAGACCCAAAGCTGTCTGGGACAGGGCCAACAATAAGCTAACTTCCAGTTCCAACTATGGCCCCTTCCCTTAGGACCACACTGGGGAGGTGAGCCAGTCCTGGTGCATTCTGGGACTGGGGCTGACAATCATGGTAGGAGGTATGCTTTGGTGATCAGGGATCAGATCCTATCACACCATTAAATGAATGCAAGCTGACAAAAATGCAAGTGCCAACAGACTGTGTATCCAAAGTACGAGAGATATAGTGCACAAGTCTCACTGCCAGTGCATGTTACGTTGATGCCCTGTGAGATAGGGTCAAATGCTATTTTCCCCCTATTTTTAATAATTTAAAGCTATTTAATTGCTTTATTAATTTTTTAAGAGTAATTTTCTCCTTTCATAGTCTTGTCATTGGGTCAAGCTCTCCCATCTCTGAACAGTAACTTAAATTGGCAAATAGCCCCCAACCCTTACTAGATGATAGTGCATAAGTTAGTCCAGAGGCTCTAAACGTCCATTTTGCTCACTCACTCATCCTACTTTGTTTTGTTAGGATTTCTCTGGGTGGCTTTTTCTGTTTCTTTTTCTCCACTTATTCTCTTTCATGATGTTCCACCCTCTCCATATGCATACAGTTGTGTTCCAGTGTAGTTAAATATGCTAACTTAAGTTAATTTTATCATTAGGCATGATGATTTAAATGATGGTAGTCACTTACCATGTATAGCAAGGTGTAGCTATCACTTCTCCTGACAGATATTCCCTGTCTTTCCAGGTACATGGACAACTATCAGGAACATAACATTTCCCCTTATGTTCTGCCATGCTTCAAAATAAAAAAAAAAAAAAAAAAATTATTTAAAGTAAACATCCCACTACACAAGCTCAAAATTGTCTTTTACAGCAAAGGTTTTCAAATGTGTTCTGTAAAGTGCTAGCAGTCAGCTGAGCATTTATGGGAACAGACCTAACCAAACACATGGTGCTAACTGCTTATTTCCAGCTGCCAAGCTGCATTAAAGAACAGCCAGAATATAGTATATGTTTTCCTTATACTAGCCACTAGGAAAGCAATGTATGGTTGTCCTTGTGACTGGGTGAGAAGGTCATTTATATAATGCAAACAGAAATAACCCATACAATGAACAAGGGTAAAGTTCCCTCACTTGTAGTAGCAGTCAACAAGTTCACAAAAAGTACACAATTTTCCCAGTATTACTATAAGTTCTTAAGATAGACATCTATTTCCTTTCAAATAAATCATGACACAATTTACTTCATAGGATTTTTAAGAATCAGTGTCTGGACGGAGGTCTCGGAATAGAAAATGTGGAAAGGAATTAAAAATTGAATAGAAAACTTAAAAAAAAAGTTGAGGGCATAAGGATTACACAATCTAAGGTATAGATCCTATTGTTGCACACCACACATATATAGATTAGAATCAACACTGGTGCCTTAAAGTTGTAGTATTGTGCATTTTCAGTTGTAAGAAGACTGTTTTTCAAGTCATTTAACCCAATTGTCACTGGGGCCATTCAACCCAGGGTCCTCAAAGAAAGACACAATTAGATCCACTGGATACTCTTAATTAATACATAAGGTACTGAAGCCTAGGACCTGCTCTCAGAGTGAACAAACCAGAATATTTTGCCCCAGAAAAGGTCAGGGCACATGGTAGGGAGGCACTTTACTTCACAAAGAGAGAATTATCTTTTTTAAACTGTATTTCAGGCTCGCTACATATAAACTATGCGTCAGGAAACCTATTAGTAACATTTTCTCTATGCAAAACAAGAAACTTCTGACCCAAATATTTTGGAGAGAACACGGTTCATTTCTAGTGGTTTAGGAACAAAATACCCAACTGATCTCTTCATGTTTG